TTCCCTGGTTCTTGGTTCCCAGTACTGAAGAATGGTTACTGGTACGGAGTCGACGGAGCAAATGAGCAGAGCAAGCAGAGGCAAGCAAGCAAAGTGCCAGAGTTCGTTAAAGCATAGTACATTCCAGAGAAGGAACCGGGCAACCCCCACTAGTGAAGGAGAAAATCAAGATTTTCCCTTTTATGCTGATTCCCTGATTTTATGTTAAGTGAGAGGTGGAATATTCATGGTTTTTCTTGGAAAAAGGTAGAGAATTCCCAGAATGGCATATACTCCCTTTTTCTATCCTTGTAAGGCGATTTCCAGGGGTTGCCATGGTATTTGTAAACTGTCATGGCGCTGGTGGATGTGATTTTTACTATGTGAATGAGAGTAGGTCACTTGAGGATACTGTCACCTTACTTGTACACATGCTCCAGAGACCCTCATTTGTGGCCTTGATCGTATCTCCACTTTGTGGCCTCTCTACCTCTTTCTGGTTGGTCAGTCCCTGGAGAGGCCCTATTGTAGACCAAACATTTGTTCAGTCCTTGGGGACTCCCTGATAGATCATCTGTTCCTTCTTGGAAGCCCCTTTTGGCCAATTTATAGACAAAGCATCTCCTAATGTCATCTATTTCTCAAGGGAGCCCCCCTCCCCCAGACAAAGCGTCTGTTCCCTTCCTCCTTGTCCCAACCTAACGCAACCTGCACAATGTATTCATCTCCACTATTTCCTGCAGGCATTTGAATTGGCAATTTCTGTTTTGGTTGTTATGCTACGCTGGTGACGTCGACCAAATGACCACCCATTAATTATAAGCTTAGTTGACTATGACCATAATAGAACGAAGTGACATAGTACTGTGACCATATTTCTTGCACCTATCTCCTGGAGTAATTACGAACCTGGTGGTCAGAGTTGCTGTAATTCCATCTTGCTCACTCCTCAACACATGTTATATTAATAGTGGTAACATTTGAGGTGGTACAGTGTGATTCAGCTTTTCTATGCCACTTCTCATGGCAACAACAAATGTTTTCCTTCTGAGTCAGCATTACCTAGAAGCTACTGCTGGTCAAAATTAGACGACATGTTTTCAACCACACTAATATTGGGCAGTTAGAAAATTTCTTTTTTTTTTTTTTTTTTTTTTTTGTTTTTGAGTCTCACTTTGTCTCGCTTTGTTGCCCAGGCTACAGTGAGTGCTGTGGCGTCAGCCTAAGTACATCTTTCAGTTGGTTCTGAACTTGGAGAAAAAGAGCATCATAAATAGGACCTCAATTCTCGACATCACCTTAATGTTAGAATATATATATCAGTTGGCCAATTAATTTCTTTCTATTTATAGTAGAGATGGGGTCTCGCTCTTGCTCAGGCTGGTTTTGAACTCCTGACCTTGAGCAATCCGCCCGCCTCAGCCTCCTAAGAGCTAGGATTACAGGCGTGAGCCACAGCGCCCGGCCTAGAAAATTTCTTGATATTGATTGCGTATGTAGGTCATGTAATTAGCCTATGTTTATAGTTCTGTGATATATGCATGGCTGCTACAGAGCCAGAGGGGGAAATGCAAAAGCATTTTCTCGGTTGTGTAAGCATCATTGCATTATAATGAATAGGTAATATTAAGTTGGGCTGATGAGTCATATTACAGTAATCCAATATTTCTCTTGTAAAGTCCCTGAAGTTTACACAAGGAAATCTCTTCTAACAAGGGGAATAGTGATTTTGAAGCATTTGCCAGTCAATGCCTCAGTCTTTATTTATTAGATGTGTGATCCTGGGTAGGGAGCTTAACTTTTCTCACCCAAAATTAAATGAGGATTATATGAGATCATATATGGGAAAGCTTGAAGGACAGTTCTTGGCACATAGTAGGACCAATCAGTGTTAGTATCTTTTTTTTTTTTTTTTTGGGAGAGAGCATCTCACTCTATCACCTGGCTAGAGTGCTATGGCATCAGCCTCACTCACTGCAACCTCACACTCCTGGGTTCCAGTCTCACTCTATTGCCTGGGCTAGAGTGCCATGGCATCAGCCTAGCTTACAGCAACCTCAAACTCGTGGGCTCAAGCAATCCTCCTGTCTCAGCCTCTGAGCAGCTGGGACTACATGTATTCACCACCACGCCTGGCTAATTTTTTTATTTTTAGTAGAGACAAGGTCTCACTCTTGCTCAGGCTGGTCTCGAACTCCTGGCCTCAAACAGTCCTCCCCCCTTGGCCTCCCAAAGCGCTAGGCTTACAGGTGTGAGCCACCACACCCAGCCTGTTAGTATCTTTTTAATAGAGATCGATTCTTAAGATCCACAAAATAATAGAACAGATCAGCTTTTCTTTTGTTATTTATTTGCTTATGTAGCATGGGATCATATATTGTATACCCAGTGGACACTTTTTGAATACTTTTAAGGAGAGAGGAAAGAAAGACTGATTTTCTTTTCTTGCAGTACCAAGACAGGCAGAATACATCGGGTCACTCCACTTAGCATTTCTTTTCTAAATTGACCAAAAATTATAGTAGACTCTTTAAAATATAGAATATATCCCAATTTTAGCCCCAGTCTACAATTCAGCTATATCCAGCTTGTTTATCTTATTAATGCCATGGACTCAGCAATAGTTTATGTTTTCATATTACCTGAAATCATGTGATCCTCTTTTTTTGTTGTTGTTATTGAAATAATTTCCATAACTTTGCCACTTTTTATTTTGCCATTTCAGTCATCAATATCAATTCAACATTACATGCAGATGCCAAAAAACATTAATTCAACAAATATTTAAGCTGTCTATGTCCCAGGCACTATGCTAGGTATTAGGGATAACCAGGATGAATAAAATGAGACCCCTGCTTACGGTCTAGTCGGTAGACTTGTAAGCAGATTACAGCTACTACTTACCGTGTGCCCACTAACTTTAGATAAGATTCTATACCATTCCCTTCACATAATGTAGTAATTGGTGTGGTGCAGCGAATGGTTATTGAATGCCTCTCACCATCAATTTCTCCACCCCCACTTCCGAACTGCTTTCAGTTCCCTTTTGGGGATCCTTCTAGAAGGTGACTCCACTACTGGTTCAAGAGGTGGAGCACATGACCAAAGTGAAACCAATCACTGCACTACATGCCTCTGGCTACAGGGTTCAGAGATGATCATGTGACCTGCATCTGTGCAATTAGAGTAAATCTCCTAATCTTGCTTGGAAAACCAGAACAAAGGCACTCTCTTATTTTCCAGTTGGGATATTAATGTAGATATAAGGGCTAGAACTGCTATAACCATTTTCATTACCATGAAAGGCATGGAGACAAGGGAGTGTCACTGAAAGAATTTCAGAGAACCTTTGGTGATTTCATAATCTCTGGTACAGCCTCTGCCCAAAGACTACTCTGGGCTTTTCTGTTACAGGAGCTAGCAGAAGCCCATTATTGTTCAAACCACTGTGAATTAGGTTTACTAATACTTGAAGGAAAACATCTTAAAGGATACATATGACCATCTTTATAACACAGTAGATATCAGTCCCATTTTTAAAATTTGTATAAATTTATTAGGTATGAGTACAGTTTTGTTCCTTGCATAGATTGCATAGTGTTGAAACCTGGGTTTTTAGGTTATCCATCATGTACATTTTACCCATTAAGTAATTTCTCATTGTCAACCCCCAATCCCCTCACCTTATCATTCCACACTCCACATCCATGTGTACACATTATTAGCTCCCACTTATGAGTGAGAACATGTGGTATTTGTCTTTCTGTGTCATGTGTTTCACTTAAGATAATGGACTCCAGCTCCATCCACGTTGCTGCAAAAGACATGATTTCATTCTTTTCTGTGGCTGAATAGTACTCCATTGTGTGTATATACCACCTTGACTTTATCCAATTTTCCACTGATGAACATTTAGGTTGCTTCCATACCTTTACTATTGTGCATTCACTCCCATTCCCATAGCTGAGGAAACTAAGGTCCTTGCCCGTCACCACAAGCCAATACATGGCAGAGTCATGAGGTTTGGTTGACTCCCAAACCCACACTCTTACCATGATTATGTTTCTGGCAATTTCAATGCAGTATGATAAGAGGTATGCGAAAGATTCTGGGGTACTGCAAAAGAAGGGATGATCAACTCGGGGTGTGTGTGTGTGTGTGTGTGTGTGTGTGTGGTGGCCATGGAGATATTCTAGGGGAAGAAACAACATGTACAGAGCATGGAGTGACTGGCTTATGATTTATGCCAAATAAATGTTTTCTATTTCATTTTCCTTTGTGCTTCTGAAAAATTTACTATGCCAGAGAATCTTACCCTGAGGGTCCCAAGATCTCTACTGGTCCTCAAAAATAACACAGGGGACTGAGAATTACTTTCAAAAAGCTAGTGTTCTAAAGCAGAGTTGCACAGATTCATTCAGACATTCCTTCTTTGTGACTGCTGGGAGCTATGTTACCTCAGTGTGGTTATCTCAGGCTGCTTGGTCAACAAGTCCCATTACTTCTATATTTGTTTAGCTCATCCACTCCTTTCATTCCACTGCTATTGCTGACTTCAGGCTCTTGCTGTGTCTCATGGAGAACCTCGATACACGAAGTATGGTCGGTCCATGGACCAATACCCTCCACATCCCCTGGGGACATCTAAGAATCTCAGATCCCCACCATCCCAGACCACCCGGATCAGAACTTGCATTTAAACATAGTGAACATTGAGAAGCATGGATGAATTTTTCCACTGGAGTCTTCCAGGTGTTCTCCCTGCCTCTAATTTTGTTCCACCTCTACCCTCGACTCTATCCTCCCCAGCACCATCTTTCAGAAGCACTATGTCTCTACCCTACTTAAAATCCTTCAGTGGTTTCCTGTGGGCTTCTCAATAATCTCCAGGTTCCTTTGACCTAGAAGGCTAATGCAGCACTTTTCCACCTGGTCAGGCTGGCTTGTACCTCCATTGTGCAAGACATAGGGACCCTCAGGCTAAGATTCTCTGACAGAGTAAATTTTTCAGAAGCACAAAGGAAAATGAAATAGACATCATTTATTTGGCATAAATCATGAGCCAGTCACTCCAGTGCTGGCCCCTGGCTTGTACCTATGTCTTGCCTTAACTGCAGGGTAGATCAGTGGTTGACCACCTAGGCCTTAGTGTCACATGGACTCGGTTCAATGCCCAGCATCAGCTATGTGACTTTGGGAACATCACTAAACCTCACTGAGGCTTTGTCTTTATCTGTAAAAAACAAACAAACAAAAATCAGGGGTGGGAATAATAGAAGTTATCTCATAGGCTTGTACCATACACAGAGCCAATAGCAGAGGCTGGCAAAGAATGAGCTCTCAATGTAACAGCCATTTTCATTGGATTTCTCCAAATTCATTAGACATTTGTGCTTTTGCACTTGCTGTTCCAGCTGCCTGGAAACCTTGTACCTTCACTTGATCAACTCCTATTCATACCTCAAAACCTAGCTCAGGTGTCACCTTCTCCAGGAAGCCTCATGGTCACCCTCCTCACCTAAATCCATGCTCCTTGGTGTTTGTTACCTTTTCCACAGTACACTCCACAGATATCAAGTTACATGCATCTTTGATTAATAAAATGGGGAAATCATGTATTAATAAATGCTGCTTGTTTATATGCAGAAATTAGCAAAATATGGTATGCCCAGGGAAATAAATATAGTAAGTTCTTCGTTGAAACCTTTACAATTCCTTCTCAGGATTTCCCAAGTGTATGTTTTGTGGAATATGGTTTTGAGGATTTAGTAGCTATAATCTGACAAGAGGGTTCACTGTTTAAAGATGCATGAGAGACACAGGGTTACACAGAGCTGAACCAGAGCTCAGAGCTTCTAAGATGCTAATATTCATAATGGATCTCCAAGAGAGCGATATATTGTGCAGTGGCCACCTGCATTGGCCCACAGTTCTGTCTTGTTGAACAACATGACTTCTTTATGGCCGAGCCCTGGCATCTAGCATAGCCTCAGGCACAGAATAAGCACTAACAAATATTTGTTAAAAGAGTAAATGTTAAATGAAAATTGCATCATCTAGAGGAGAGAGAATTTAAGCCCAAATTAGTTCAGTAGAGAGTAAGGGCAGTAGAGAGAGTAAGGGCTAGATTAGAGGTTAATCAATTTAGATTCTCCTAGGAGGCAATATCAGCAAGATTTGTAGGTCAATATACAAATTTTCTGGCTTGAATGACTGGCTAAAATAAAAGTGTCATCAGCTGTGGTAGGAAATACAGATGATAGGTTTTAGAGGAAGATATATATATATTTTTTGAGACAGAGTCTCACTTTGTTGCCCAGGTTAGAGTGAGTGCCATGGAATCAGCCTCACTCACAGCAACCTCAAACTCCTGGGTTCAAGCAATCCTTCTGCCTCAGCCTCCCGAGTAGCTGGGACTACAGGCATGCGCCACCATGCCCAGCTAATTTTTTCTATATATATATTAGTTGGCCAATTAATTTCTTTCTGTTTATAGTAGAGATGGGGTCTCACTCTTGCTCAGACTGGTTTCAAACTCCTGACCTCGAGCAATCCGCCCCTCGGCCTCCCAGAGTGCTAGGATTACAGGGGTAAGCCACTGCGCCCGGCCTGGAGGAAGATATTGAGGTGCTTCTGGGATATTTATTCTAGTGAAGCTGGCCAGCAGAAAGTTCCACATTCAGAAATACAGATTTGTAAATTTTCACACCTCTTTATTCACTTACCATTTAGTTCCAGTCCATCCTTTTCCAGAGAATAACTGCCCTGCAAAGGAGATGATGGAAAATTGAAGAGACCAAGGTTGGAGCTGTAGATACATAGTAAATCTAGGTAGGAGGTAAGGATTTTATTCCCTGGATGGGAATTTTTGAAAACCCAGAACTATCATCCTTGTGCGAAGGGGTGCTATTGAATCAATTCCACATTAAATAGTAGGGTGAATATAGAGACAGCATGGTAGCAATTATGTTATTCTATGACAGGATTATTTAAGCCATATGCAAATCAGAGTGTACTTAAAGGACTTTTCTTCTGTTTATCCACTTAATTCATTCATTCAACAAACATCTATTGGGTAGCTACCAAGTGCCATTGGCTATTTCAGCTCTGATGATCTGAAGGTAAATAAATTGCATTTCTACTCCACAGGCATACTCACATAAACACGTGCTTTATAGTAATCTGTAGTTCTCACACAATTCTGGTGGGTATAACTTGGCGTGAACATCAAATGCCTTTGAAAATATGCACATCCTTTGATTCGGCAATTTCACTTCAAGGGATTTATCCTAAGGAAATAAAGGTCATCTACAAAGCTTTACTGAAAGACAGCTCCTCACAGTTTTGTTGATAATCTCAAAAAGCAGAAAATAACTGTTTGTCCCCCAGACCAAGAAGATTGGGTATGTAAATTACTCCACTGGCAGCAGGAAGCCAATGGAGGTTTCTAAGGAGCAGAGTGGCATTGGATTTGAGTGTGTGTGTTTTAATCTAATTTTCGAAGCAGTGTGGAGAAGGGTTTCTAGTGGGGGAAAAAAACTCGGAAAAGATGGTTTTTGTAATAGTCTAGGTCAGAGATGATACAAAAGTGTGCTAAAGTAAAGCAGTGGGAACAAGGAGGGTAATTGGATTTGGGAGCTATTTCCAAGGTAGAATGAATAGGATCTGTTGGGGAGAGTGTGGAATATGAGAAAATACGGTACCAAGGAGAAATCTGAGATTTCTAATTTAGGTGGAGCAGGTTTGGGGGCAAATATATAACAAATCTGATTTTGAACATGTTCAGGTTGAGGTTATAAATCCCTCCTCGGAGTATTGCCATGGTGATTTCTTGAGAAGAAATAGCTTTGACCGGTGATGTGGGTTGCGGTTAAGTGTTTGGCCTTTGAGACGGACTCGCTGAGTTGGAATCCTGGTTCTGCCACCCACATATTAGCAAGCAATTTACTCAAAAGCTCTGAGCTATAGCCCCTGCCTCACAGGACACTGTGAAGAGTATAGAGTTAAGAAGGATAAGTCTTGTAAAGCGCCCACCACTCAATACATGTCAACTTTAAAAAACAGAAAATGCCATAATAGTGGGAGAGTCCCCATACGCCTGCGGGATTTTCTCAGACACCTGCCCCCCCACTCCCAATGGAGCATGTAGCCCAAGCTTGGCTCATAATAACCTCGTGCCCCAGCACGGCTAACGCACCTGATCCCACTCCTTGAGCACTTCATGCACAAGTACCAGCTCCTTGGTCTCTGCCACATGCAGGATTTCAGATCCTAAGACCTGAGCATATATTTCCTCAGCTTCTTTTCTATCTCTCAAGCCTCCTTTAAGAGCAATATATACTGTACTTTCTGGAACTCTATCTTTAACTCTATTTTATCTTCCAAACCCATTTCCATTTTTTTTTTTTGAGACAGAGTCTCGCTCTGTTGCCCAGGCTAGAGTGTCATGGTGTCAGCCTAGCTCACAGCAACCTCAAACTCCTGGGCTCAAGTGATCCTCCTGCCTCAGATGCCCAAGTAGCTGGGACTACAGGTACATGCCACCATGCCCACCTACTTTCTATTCTTGTAAAGATGGGGCTCCGCTCTTGCTCAGGCTGTTTTTGAACTCCTGAGCTCAGGCAATCCTGCTGCCTCAGTCTCCCAGAGTGCTAGGATTACAGGCATGAGCCACCATGCCCGGCCAGGCAGAGATTATTAACTTCATTTTACAGGAAAAGAACCTGATCTTTGGAGAGCTCGAGTAGTTGGTTTAAGGTGACACAGCTACCAAGCATGAAATCAGATTTTCACTCACGCAACCTGGCTTCAGAGCTACAGTTTTTTTTTTATTTTTTATTTTGAGACAGAGTCTCACTTTGTTGCCCAGGCTAGAGTGAGTGCTGTGGCATCAGCTCTAGCTCATAGCAACCCAAACTCCTGGCTCAAGCATCCTACTGCCTCAGCCTCCAAGTAGCTGGGACTACAGGCATGCGCCACCATACCCAGCTAATTTTCTATGTATATTAGTTGGCCAATAATTTCTTCTATTTATAGTAGAGACGGTTTGGCTCTTGCTCAGGCTTGTCTCGAACTCCTGACTCGAGCATCCGCCCGCCTCGGCCTCCCAGAGTGCTAGGATTACAGGCGTGAGCCACCGCGCCCGGTCTAGAGCTACAGTCTTAACCTCTAGGGCATTCACTTCAGAATCTTAAAATTAATATTTCTTTTCATTCAAACCATAGTTTCTAGAAGTACCACTTTCTAGAAGCAACACCTCTTATATTTCCTTGGGTCCCTGCACGATTTTTCTCCCTCTGTATTAGACTTCTTGTTGAGTCATAGGTAAGTTCCTTTCTGGTGGTTCCCATGGTTTTCATAATCACAATGTGTGGGTGACAGGCTGTGGTCAGAGGGAAACAATAGCATAGTGCTTTGATTCGATGAGGATGATGATATTAACTTGTACTGAGGCCCTCCTATTTATAGTCATGTATTATCTCATTTAATCATCACAACAGTCCTCTGGGATAGGTGGTGCCATTAGAATCTTAAAGACAAAAAGAATGAAGCTTAGAGAGATTAAGCAATACATCACACAAGGTCACACAGCTGGCAGGTGGCAGAGACAGGGCTCAAACTCAGATCGTCTGAATTTCAAAGCCCATATTTTTGAACACCATGCGATTCTGATGAGCTCAGCATCAGGTACGTTTGGAAATGTCAACATTCTGGATAGAGCATCAAATTACCAAGACGATATTGCATTATTTTCCCCTTCAATCAACCAAAATGACAGTTCTTGCACTGGCCCCCGCTGTCCTGGCTCTTTGTAATCACCCAGCATCCCTGCAAGTTTTTGGCATTCCCAGCAGAGCCAAGGCACCAAGCCAGGACAAAGAGCCAGGGCTGGGGAACCACTTAATAATTCCATGCAGATGGTTACTTTAGCCCGTTATTGAACTTGAAGCATTATCACCCTAAAGTAATGCAAACAGACAGGGTTCCAGGCACTGCGGTGGCAGAGATAGTTTTGTCCTCTAGGATTACAGAAGTATATTACTCACAGATTTTTAGAAACTGAATTTATTCTTTTATAAATCACAAGACAACATGAGCTCAGGATAGATGGTTGAAAAATTCAGAAAATTAAAAAGGAAAATATCTCCCCCAAATCTCCACTCTAGAAACAAACACTGTTAATATTTTTGTGCATCTATTCATCGTCATTGTATTTTCCATGCATTGAAAACATTGCTGATTCTTTTCTGACTATAAAAATAATACATACACCTTGTAGGACCACTGGAGAATACAAACAAAACATTTATTATTATGATATCCATAGGCAGTCACTATCAACATTTTGGCATATGTCATTTCAGTGTTTACGTGAATATGTGTACATAGGGGTATATATATGTGAACACATCAAATTTGAATCACAGTATTTTTCATTGAATTCCTACCATTATCATTCCATGAGATAATTAACATGATCAAGATCACATTGTAGGGCCTGTAATTCCAGCTATTTGGGAGGCTGAGGTGTGAAGGATTGTTGGAGCCTAGGAGTTGGAAGCCAGCCTGGGCAACGTATGGAGATCCCATCTCAAAAACAAACACACAAACAAATACAAAAAAGGAAGTATAAAGGTGAAATGCTTATTTTAGTTTTCCATAGTTAGGTGAATATCCCAACACCATTTATTGAGTAGTCCATTCTTTCTGTACTGATTTGTAATACTTTCTCTGTCACAGCTCAAATTTGCAAATATGTTTCGGTCTATTTTGGGGGTCTCAATTTTCTTCTGATGTCTTAAGGCTTTACAATAGGTTTTGATATCTGGTAGTTAGGTTCTTGCTACCTTGTTAATTTTCCTCAACACTGTCTTGCCTACTTCTGGCCCTTTGTTCTTCCATGTAATTTTTGAATCAGTTTGTCGATGTTTATTTTATAATCCTCTTCCCTACTGAGATTTAAAGTGGACTGTCATGGAAGAGAATTTTCACCTTTATGATACTGAGTCTTTTTACCCTTGAACATGGAAGATTCATTTTTTTCAGCTCTTTTTTTTTATGTTGCTTAATAATGAAATGCAAAACTAGTTAACTAGTTAACTAGTCATTGACACTAGTCATTGTCTTAGGTGACACAAAATAATAATTTTCTCCTCAAAGTTTTTTTTGGGCTATTATGATCATATTTTAAGTTTGATTAATGTCATATAGAAATGCTACAATTCTTGTATGTTTTATCTTGTTTCCAAAATCCTGCTCTTATTCATTTTAATAGGTTAGCTGTGGACTTGCTTGCATTTTTATGTAGGAGATTGTATTGTCTGAAAATAAAATTTTGTTTCTTCTGTTTCAATTCTTATACTTCATTAATTTTTCTTATCTATTAAATAACTAGGCTAGGACCTCCCAGAAGTAGAGATTGTAGGCATCCTTGTTTTGTTCTTCACTTCACTGAAGATGCCACTAGAAGTTCAACTGTAAATGTGATAATTGCTGTAGATTTTTAATAGTTACTGTCTAGAAGGTTAGGAAAATATCCTTCTACTCTTAGTTTGCCAAGAAAAACAACACAGGTATGATGACTGCTAATTTTTTTTTCAAATGCTTTTTCTCTATTCATTGACATATCCAAGTAGTTTTCTCCTTTAATCTGCTAATTTGGTATACTATATCAGTGAATTTTCTGATACTGGGCCACATTCCATTTTGGAAGTATACCCTATTTGTTCATGATGTATTTTTATTTAGAATTTTTGTACTTGCGTTCATAGGTGAGATCATTCTAAAATTTTTTTATTGTATAATTTGTATCTAGTTTTGGTATCAAGGTCATACAATCCTTATGAAATGAGCTCTAAAACCATGTTTATAAAATAAGGATTATCTGTTATTTGGTAAAATTCACCTATAAAACTCTCTGGGCCTGTTGCCTTTGTGGGACTGGGAGGGAAATAAAATTCTATATTAAAAATTAAAGTTTTGCAATAGTTATTGACTTGCTTTTTTATTTTTAAATACATTTTGATAGTTTTTAAGACAAAATTATCCATTGTGACTAAATTTTAAAAATCTTATTATATTGTACTCCCTTTTCATTCGTGTCTCCCTTTTCATTCATAATATTACTCCTCATGAGTGATTTTCATGAATCTTGAGAGGCTTGCCTTCTTACTTTTTCCCCCAAGGAATCAGCTTTTGGTTTTGTTGATCCTCTCTATTGTTTCTTAGTTTTCTATTTCTTTTCTTTTCTTTCTTGAGAAGGGGTCTTGCCACCCTGGCTGGAGTACAGAGATGTGACCACAGCTCATTGCAGCTTCCAACTCCTGGGCTCAAGTGATCCTTCTGCCTCAGCCTCCAGAGTAGCTAGGACTATAGGCACACAAGATGACATTTCAAAACAACAACAAACAACAAAGAACCCACCCATGTTCTATAGAGCCTTTTTTCCCCCTGCCTGATACGAAGCACCTTAACTGTGCAGTCTAGAAAGTCAGTATAATAAAGAGGCTAAATGTTGATTCAAATTGCCTGGATTCAAGTGCTGGCCAGGCCACTTAGTAAATGTGGGAGTTGGGGCAAATAACTTAATTAATCTGCACCCCAGATTCATCTTCTGTAAATCAAGGCTAATGAAATCATGTTTCACAGAGTTATTGGGAAGTGTTTTGCACCTAGTTGTCATTCAAGAGATAGTACTAATTTTTATCAATCTAGCTACTGATTTTACTCTATATCTTTTTAACCTGCTATCTTCTGTTAGTAAGAAAAACCTCTGGGTTTTGGGAAAGTAAAGACCCATGTTCCAAACAGCTTTGTTATACCTGTGTCCAAGATATTTTCATCTCTCCCTCTCTCTAAGTCCATGCAAACTCATACAGAACCGACACAGGAATCCACTGTCTCGTTTCAAATTATACACACAGGTACAGAGATGGTCACAAAAACACACTCAGCCTAGCACAGAATCTGCAGATCTGCATAGTCCCCATGAAGATGGATCCATCGCCCACAGATGGAGATGGGCTCACCAATGCCACTCGAAGGCTGGCAGCCCGCTGACAGACCACAAGCCACCCCTAGTACCAGCCCCACGCAAAGCATCGCCACCGGCTCCAGACTGGGCAGGGGCCTTCTTCTTACTTCCTTTAGGTTGGTTTTATTTTAGTGTTTTGATTGTTGTTCTTCTCAGAGTTATCACCTGCCCCTCTTTCTGGCTACCCAGCCCCCTAGCCGGCCCCCCAAGCCCGCACTGCGCACGCGCCCCGCGTCCCTCCCCCTCCCGGCTGTACCAGCCTGCGCTCCCGGGCGCCGGCGGCGGCGGAGATGGAGGCGCGTCACGAGCGCTCGGCCCCTTGAAGCGCCGCTGGCTGGAGCCGCCTCCCTGCCTGCCGCCGGCGGCGGGGATGGAGTAAAGGGAGCCCCGTCGACCTGCCCGCGGGGACCGGCGATGGAGTTAAAGCAATCCTTGTCCACACACCTGGAAGCCGAGAAGCCGCTGAGGCGCTATGGGGCTGTGGAGGAGACGGCGTGGAAAGCGGAGGGACTGGGGAGAAGTGAGTACGCCGGCGGCTGGCGGGGGACCGTCGGGGACCGGTGCGCTGCGGCCGGTGGTCGCGGGCGCGCGGGGAGCGCACGGGGCGGACGCGGGGAGGCGCCCCCGCGGCGGGGCTCTGGGCGCCGGGGGAGGCGCGGCGCGGCGTGGCGGCGCGCTCTCCCCGCGAACAAAGGGGGCACCCTCCGGGCTGGGCTTCCCGGGGAGGCTCGGGAACGGCCGGGCTGCTGAGCCAGGAGCCTGGGCTGCACTCGGGAGTCCCGGCTCCGTCAGCTCGCAGCTGCGCCTGGGAAGCGGGGCTTTTCCCGCAGCCTTGGGAGGAGGATGCTTTCCCCGCCCGGGATGCGCCAGGTCGCTGGGGCCGCAGGTCCGTCCTGGAACGCGCCCAGGTCCCTGGAGAGGGGGAGTGTCGCTGGGGTGGGTGCCTCTTGCTGCCCCCCAGCGCGAGGTTCGGGGCGCACCTGAAATCCCCAGCTTCCCTCCCCCGCCTTCTCTGGGTCCGGGCGGGCGGCGCGGGGGAGGATTTGGGGAAGATGAACCGTGAGCACATCCTTCTCCTTTCTCCCTCGACTCAATTCGAGTCTTTGGTGTGGGGACGGTCCTAGAAGGCGGTTCCGAAACAGCCTGGCTGTATTTACTGGTTCTCTCCGTGGTGTTTTGGTGTTAACGACATTTCCAAACAAACGAAGCGTTTTCATTTTTAATTATTAGGACGGAATAGTTGAAACTCCTGCCCTCGAAGTGTAGAGGCAGCGTGGGGTGGTGGTGGTGGCTTCAGGGTCACCACTGTCCCTGCAAACCCAGGGGGCCTCCCAGTGACCCTAGCGTGTGCCTTCTGCTAGACTGGGAAAGGCCCTCTCGTCCTTGTCGGGGACCCTGCAGCTTTCTGCCTAGCTCTGGGTCACTGTGCTTACTTAGCTGTGTTCCCCAGCACCGATCTCTAAGCTGTGCTGGGCTAAAGTATTGTGAATGTGCTCTTTTCCCGTCTTCACCTGGTAGAAAACTGTGTGTGTGCCCGCATGTGTGTGCTTTCTCTATACTTGTAATTATGAATTGAGAAAATCTTCCTAGAATGGCTCAGGTGTGTTCTGATTCTGATGGATTCAAGTTGAGATCGCAACCAAATGTCTTAGTTCCTCACCTGCTATGATGGATACTATAGGGCTCCCAACCTTTTTCCTTCTTTTGTTTTTTCTTTCTCCTTTTTTTTTTAAAAATCTTGGTCCTGCCTTCTATGTCATCCTTTCCAAACCCTTTGGCATAACATCAGGGCTGAAAGTCTCCATTTCTTACAAGCTCCAAATAATATCAACAATTTGCTGCCTTTCATTTGCTAGATTACCATGTACTAAGAACTTCACATGCATCATCTCATTTAATCCCCCAAATCACTTCCTGAGGTGAGTATTACCACTGTCTTTGCACAGATCAAAAACCTAGGGCCTTGTACTCCCATAATATTCTGAAATAATAATAAAAAATCCCCTAGGGCTTGTTAGATCTGATAAGTGGGAGAGCTGGGATTTGAACCCAGATTTGTTGGTCTCCAGAGCCCCTGCTTTTAATGAAAAGGTTTTTTGCTTTCATGGTTTCAGGAACCTTCCTAAGTCTGTTGAAAGAGTCCCAGATCATGGTTCAGTGATTTTATAAATATATGGCAGCCCTGTTGGTCTCCGGAGCTCATAGTGGGCCAATGCTGGGTTCACGCAGAGTAGGAGCTGTTCAAAGAATCACTGGTTTGAATCCTCGCTCAGTCCCTTGCTGGCTATGTGACTTTCAGAACATTTCTAACCCTTATTCTGCCTCTGTTTTCTGAAAATGAAGATGATGGTGGTACCTGCTGTATGGCTTTATTGTGAATATCAAATAAGACAGCGTATGTAGAGCTCAACACATAACAGTTGCTTCTACTATGTTATTGGTACAACATGTACAAAAGGAACCTGCTTTTATCCTCTGCAAGGAATTGCATAAAGCAACACCCTGGACTAAACAAACCTACAGTGTTGGTCAGTTCCCCAATAACTCTCTTCCATCTTTTTATTTTCTTGCCATTTTATTAGGAGAATTTCAAACCTGTAGGGAAATTGCAGTAAGGACCCACTGTGTAGCAGTCTAACTCCTGAAATGTTTGTACTTGTGAGTTCTAGGTGCACACTGTTCAAAGTTTGGCAGAAAGGCTTTCTTATCCTCTCTGTTCCAAACCATCAAAGACTCTGAGTCTTGCATCCTAGCCAAGTACAAGAGCACGGTTTCTATCTGCTTTTGCATGGATTCCACAAATCTGTTTTTTTTCCTTCCCTTTTTACCTATTCAAACTTGAAATCTTCTTAAAGTACTGATCCCACTTTTGAATCTTGCATCTGGCAAGTTCCGATCTCTAGACTGTTGTCTGCAACCAGGCATTTTTTGATCAAAGCTTTCTTGGAACACTCTTTCAACTCGAGGAGTATCTGTGAATCCATTCTACAACGTCTGGGGCCTCCATTTATTTATTAATGAAGTGTGAAAATTACTACTATTGTTTCTATGGCATAACATTTGCCAAGGCAACATTGGAATGCATGAAATGCTCCTTAAAAAGAAGGCATGCTCTCTTTAATTTCCACACATATTTAAAGATTTTATGTTAAACACTGAGTATGTGTAAAGTTAAAAGAATTGTAAAGGGGAGAAAGATTGCAGAACTGATCGTTTTTAGTTAAGGTTATGTTAACGGCTATTTCTAGTTTTAACTATAGTTTTTAGATAAAAGACATGTAATGTGCTATAGTAATAGTAATAGTATTAAAGAATGGGAGTTTTGAAGTCAGGTGAAATGAGTTCAAACCAGCTCTAAAAGCTTGTAGGTTTGTCACCCTGGGAAAATTGTTGAACTTGTCTGTGTGTCAGTTGCCTCATCTGTGAAATGGGTATAATAGTAGTAATGAACACTTGGGTCTCTGGGAAGATTAAATGAGATCATGCATATAACAAATTTAGCACAGTGCCTGGCACACTGTAAGCACTCAATCAATGCAGAATGATTGTCATTGTAGGACAAAAGAGAATGGCACCCAACAATATTTGAGGAGATTATTCCAAGCTTGTCCGTTACAGCTTTTTATTGCTTCTGTTTCTTTGTACATTCTGGATAACGACTACTGTGTCTGTACTGCCTTCCTCATGTAGAGAAAGGCTTTTGCATCCTTACAAACCTAGTATTTTCTTGTTTGAGAAAGATTCCAAGCAATTGCTCCCATCCATGGGTGATGGCATTTTTCTGCAAGCAGTGAGGTTTGTTTTCCTCAGTTGGAAAATGTATGGTGACATTTCAGTGTGGTTAGATATATAAAAATACTGCTTGCAACAGACTGTAATTAATTGAGGGAGACACAAAGACAAGGTGCCTTTTGAAAAAGCGCAGAGCTTTTAAAAAATACAGTTGTCTGTTGTTGTGGTCATTTCTTGGTAGATTGGATGTACCCTAAAAGATGACGGAGATTTTGGACAGAGGAAGTAGGGAAGGAGGGGACAGAAGGGAAGAGAATACCAGGACAGGGAATAGCATCAACAAAGCCACAGAGGTAGAAATAAATGCTCTGTGAGTAGGAGATTGGAATAAACTGGAAAGCTCAAACAGCAATCTTTCTATAAACCCAGGGGAGATGATTCTTATTTAAAAGTCCAAGGTTGTGTACTCACTAGCAAGCAGATCATTAAACTGCCCAATGTTTCAGGTTAATAAACAGTGTGGAAACTGAAATAATATGAATTTGTTGGCACTGTATATAATAGATTCTTGGGTGAGGTTTTGTATTATCTTCACCTGTTTGATTAAGCATGTTAATTTTATTATTTTGTTTTAGCATTATTTTTTAAATATAGAAATCATATGTTTGCTTTGTAAAAAATTGAAATTTGTCTGAAACCTAAAAATGAAAAATGAAAAACAGCCATCTTCTGCCCCCCAAATCCCATTTATTCATTCAATAAATAGGTATTGAGTGCTCTATAACTGCCAGGCAGTGGTTTATAGGCTGCTTTCAACCAGCTGTAATTAACTGAGGGAGACACAAAGACAAGATGCCTTTTGCTATAGTGTTGAGCAAGACAAAGTCCCTGCCCACGTGAAGTTTCTATTTAGGGAAAATCAGGACATAGGTTGAGAGTGAGGGTGTCCAATAATACATTAAGCAGACAAGTAAGACAGTTCAGATCCTGATAAGTATTGCATGAGAATTAAAAAGGAAGGGATATTTTTCATCTGATGTTTAGGAAATGCTCCTCTAAGGAGGTGACATTTCGGTGTAAATAGCAGGAATCCAGGCAGTAAATGTAAAAGCCCTTGGTGTGTTGGAGGAAGAGACAGAAGGCCAGGGTGGCTGGAACCCAGTGAGTCAGGGAGACAGTGGAGATGAATCAGAGACGAGCCAGACTAGGTAGGGCTTTGTAGGTCATGGTTAAAAAAAAGTCTGGAATTTATTCTCATTGCAGAAGAAACTGCTGAAGAATTTTAAGCAAGCAACTAACATGAGCTGGTTTTGTTTTCAAAAGGTTACGTTAGCTACCGGGATGGAGACTAAGCCATACAGGAGCAAGTGAGAATCAGTGTAAACAGCATTCCATATAGTCCCTGGTTCTTTCCTAATTCATTCCGTTTTGGATAAGTGTTGGGAATTTCACTGAGTGTGAAAGAGGTGACAAGAGTGAAGGCCACGTGGGCAGTCTTCTGGGAAACTGAGCACCTGGCGATATGGTTGGGATGTTTGACTTGTCCAAATCTCATGTTGAAATTTGATCCTCAGTGTTGGAGGTGGGGCCAAGTGGGAGGTGTTTGTGTCATGGGGGCGGATCCCTCACGGAATGGCTGGTTGCCCTCCCCATGAGAGCCTGGCACCCCCTCCACTTGCCATGTGACATGCCTGCTCCCCCTTCACCTTCCACCTTGACAGGAAGCTCCCTGGAGCCAGAGTAGATGCTGGCATGATGCTTCTTGTGTAGTCTGCAGAACTGTGAGCTGAATTAGCCTCTT